GGCCCGGCTCACTCTGTAACTTCATTAAAAAACATAAAGGAAACTCTGCTCGGAATATGATTAGGAGCGGCTGGGATGCAGAAATGCCCACACTTCCTCCAGAAAACTTCAAAGACATATTCCCAGATGCGAGCATGAGCACACACACACACACACACACACACACACATGCAGAGCTGTATCTGGATTAACATCCTTTCATTTATTTTCTTTAACTGAAGATATGGATTAAAGAGCTTCAGTTGTGAAATATTCAACACACAAACATTTGTCCAAACCTGACGTGGACAGGATTCGGTTGGACATCCTGTGGGCTGAACTGTGCAAATGTACTTGACTCTGGTTTATTTAGGGGACACCGTGCAGGATTGAGCAACATCTAGTGTTGGAGAAGTGGTGTGGTTATCATTCATAAAAGCACCAGGAAAAGATTTCAGAATCTTTTTTTCTTCAGTCTTTTGTTGGATCTTTGAATGCCGGCACCGCACACACACATCAGTGTTGCTAGTAATGCCTTGCTCCAGTGCAAGTCTCTGAAGTGCAGCAGTGAAATGTGTAAGATGTGACTGGCAGCATTAACTAGAACCAGTCCAGTCGAAGGGCCCGCGTTGATTCACGGTTGAACCCGCGAACACATGTCAAAGGAAAAAAGATTCAACCGAACCGTGAGATCGAGGAGGAAGTACAGCTCAGAGTCACTCTGTTCTCACCGCACACTCCTTTATTCATATATATATATATATATGTGTGTGTGTGTGTGTAAATATACACATGTATCCTTTACTACCATTGCTAAGAGAATATTACGTAATAATACGTTAACACGTATCTAACACACAGGTCTGCACACACACACACACACACACACCCCCTTCACACCAAATAATCTGTATCCATCTCTCACCCTTTTAATTCCTCTCTCTCTCTCTCTCTCCGTCACACACGCACGTATTTTGCTGCTGCTCTTCTTTTCGGTTTGTCCGTTTGTTTCCTTCATTCATTTGAACGGCTCGACCATAAGCACTTCATTTGGACAAGCGTCTGAACAGAACCTGGGTTTGAACCAACCGAGTTCTCAAACCCCAGGATGTGTATGTGTCGACTGCTACATGTGTTTATGTGTTATTATTATTATTTATTATGAACTCATCATCCTTAGAGTTTCAGTCAAGCTGACTCCTGTCGCCGCGGCCACAGGCGCTGCTGCGGGCTGTGCGTAAAGGTTACAGTGTTACCGCATGAGAAGGTAACAGCACCGGGGGTGACTGCGGTCACCGCCCCGAGCCCGGGTGTAACACCTGACCACTTATTTTCTTTTTTACTGCACACCTGCACAGGTGGAGGAAGTTATAAACCTCCGACCAATGACGCGGAGCAAAACTGAACAATAAATCCACGACTGAATGGACGAACACACGTGTTCAATCAGATGAAGATACAAAGGTTAACGGTGAAGACTGGAACTATTGACAGGTGTTAATAATAATAATAAAAAAAACAAGCGCACTCAAACACACGGCCGCGGTTCAAGAACGCGCATTAGTCCGCGACTGTTCTCTGGAACAGCCTGCACAGGTGAAGCGTTCCGGGAAACAAGCCGCTCGTTGTTTTTTTTTTATTTTCTATTATTGCTGTTTGATCTTTCTTGGTCCATTCTTCCAGCACCGACGCACCAACCCCAGGCGGGGCGCCCGGGGGCTCCGGCGGCGGCGGCGCCCCCCCCCCCCCCCGCCCGCCGCGGCGGCCTCCCGCTCCCGCTGCCGCTGCCGCTGCGCCACGCGACAGCGCAAACTTAAGTGTGTTCATTTCCTGAAGCAGAAACACAAACGAGACGACATCGAGCACTTACTTTTGACCTCTTCATATGGAACGACAGGAGTAAATCCAGTGTGCGCGAAAGCCTATTTTATTTTACTTCTACGGGGAGGAAAGGGGCTGTCATCATCCTGTGTGCACATATCCAATGCCGAAGTCAGAAGTATCCAAGCAGAAGAGAAAAAAAGAAGAGGAAAATGAAGAACAACGACCAAAAACTGGAAATCAGACCATCAACCTCGCAGCCTGTAGGCTAATGACGTGTGGTATGTAGCCCATCTATCTACAACATAAATCCAGACACTGACGGCTGGCGGCGGCGGCGGAGAGAGGGGCAGCACAGAGGGAGGGAGTTAAGCCTTTATTTTAATGATGCGTAAAAATCAGTCAAAGTGCCGCCCTCTGACGAGGAGCAGCGAGCGGAGGGTGACTTCATGGACTGCACTCACACCACTACTGTTGTTCTGCTGCTGCTGCTGCTGCTGCTGCTTCTTATCATTATTGTTGTTACTATTATTATCGCTTGTTAAAGTTTTTACCATAATTGTACACTCGGAGGACGCCCCCTACTGTCGAGGAAGTCAGATTTTATTGATGGAACACAAAGGTCGATGTCTGTGTTTCACATCTTTGTTTGTGACTAAATTCC